TCCACCCCCGCGTGACCCCGAGTCCCCCAGCACGGCACCGCCCCCCGCCTCCCGGGCCCGGACGGACGGGGGCGGCCCCACGCCCTGCCCCACCCATCCCCCAGCTCAGAGACTCCCCAGCCGACAGCGCTGGTCCTGCAGCGTGTGTGCGTGAGTGCAGTGTGTGTGCGCGTGCCTCTCACCGAAATAAAAGGAAAACCATGACCAGAAGGGAAACGGAGTCCCCGCAGCACCGCCAGTGCCCCCCAGTCCCCTCTCTCCCTCCCCTCACTGGGAAGGGAAACCGGCGAGAGTCAGGGGGACCTCTGATGGGAGACGCAGAAACTGGGGCCATGGTTACGGTTGGGAGGCTCCGGGTACCCATCTGACTCCTGCTCCCAACTAGAGCTCCCACCCCGGCATTACAAGGCCCATGGTGGCACCATCAATGCTTTTGCTGGTGAGCTTTGCCCTTTGCAAGCTCCTCTCTCAAACATGGACTGAAGGGGGGAATTTCAAGTCCTTGGAGAGGGTGACCAATGAAAGGTGAGACCAGGATCCAGAGAGCTGGAGAGAGGGCATTACAGGTACACCCAGGCAAGGCCCCACATGCTTTAGAGGACCTGCCCATCACAAACAGTCCAACTTCAAGCACTTTTTAAAAAATTCTTTTGCTCAAATAAGATACTTTTATTTAAGGTTTTATTTTGCAATAATTGTAAATCTCTAGGGAGTTGCAAAGATGGTCCAGAGAAATCTGTGTACCCTTCACTCAGTTTCTCCCAATGGTTGCATCCTCCGTGGCTACAGTATAATGTCAGAGTCAGGAAATTGACGTTGGTACCGTGTATGTGTGTGTGTGTGTGTTTAGTTCCATGTCACTTTATCACCTGTGTAAGATTCGTGGGCCCACCTCAAACAAGATACAGAACTGTTGATCACCACAAAGCTCTCCCCCAGGCTGCCCTTGAGTCATACGCACCCTGCCCCCCTGCCCGAGAGAATCTTGGCAAGACCAGGAATTGTGAGAGGGACTGGGAACCCGAAATGGGTTCTCAGGTCAGAGGAGGCAGGGTGAGATTTTTGACTCTGTGGGGAGGAAGGGAGCACAGTCAGCTCCAGTCTGCTCCAGGAAACGTATTTGGCTTCAAATTGGCTGCCCTGAGTCACCCAGTTGGGGTGCTGGGAGACAGGGATCCCCAGACAGCTATACATCTCCTTCCTTTTAGTGCAGCAGTAGATTTTGGGGAATTGCTTAGAAATGCCAGGAAATCTTGAGTCTAGAAGGAGACATGGGAGTCACCAGAGCAGCCATCCCCCAGTGCCCACCCTGCCTTGCCCAACAGACCTGTGTCACACTCTGCCTCCCAGGAGACAACTTCTTTAGCCACCAGGGCTGCCTTGGGCTGAAAATGTCAGGGCATAACTGCTGCCTGGGACCCTGGAGGTGAAACCTAAGGTCTTACGATCAAATGGAGAGAGACCTGCCGTGGTCCTCAGGGAGCCCTCAAAATTACGAGACATAAATGCTTAAGGAGACCCAAGTCTGATGGACTCAAGTCTCATGGGGGCTCACAGCCAAGAGGTGACAGTGAGAGAACTCTCCAAAAGGGCATGACGGAGGAAAGAGGTCAGGGCCCCGGAGGAGCCCGGGAAGGCTTCCTGTAGGAGGCACTGAAGCAAGTCCAAGGATGATACTCTGTAGGTATTCAAACAAAAGCTGATGATGGAACTGTGCAGGACAAGCAGTACCCAGGTATGGTCAGAGCACAGCGTGCAGGTTGGGAGGACAGTGAGGAGAAGACCTGAGGAGATGGCATCCTGCCAGAAACAGGGCGTAGGAGGGAGCCCAGGAGGAGGTGTGAGGGACGGGGGGCCATGCAAGCACCTGAGCTTCCAGGGGAGAAACAGTTCTCCCTGGCTGCAGGGAGGGAGGGGAGGGGGCAGGGACAGAGGAACAGTCAAGGACAGAGGGCAGAGAGGCCTGTCTTACCCCTCTGCCCCTCTCCCAGCCTCCCACTCCCAGGTGGCCAAGGGCACCTCCCAGATCTGGAAGAGCTCCAAGCCAAAGCACCAGGTTTCCCTGTTTACAGTCAACCCCGGGGGAGGAGAGGAGGATGGAAGGGAGGAGTGGCCACGGGGCGTGGGGAGGCTGGCCAGCTCTCTCCAGCTCCAGCTGGGCCTGAAGTGTTGGAGGCTCAGGCACTCGGCTCCCAGCCTGGCACCTCACCATGGCCGCAAAGGTAGACAGTAGGCCCGGGGCGCTCCCCAGCAGTGACTCCGACCTGGGCACCGCTCGAGAGCACGTGCAGGCGGCCACCCGAAACTACATCACCCACCCCCGTGTCAGTGAGTATGAGCCCCCAGCAGGTGAGGTCAGGTGGGCTGCCGGTCTCTGGACCTGCTTCTCAGCCTCAGGGAAAGAGGAGAACCCAAGATGTGGGGAGACCTAGGGGCCGTCTGGTCCTTCAGAGTGATGCAGGTGGAGGGATGGGGGTCCCCAGGCCTGGGGACCCCAGAGGAAAGGGCAGAGGAGTAGCTACAGGAACCTTCCTGTCATCAGTGATCCTGACTGAGACCCTAAGTCCACATCCACAGAGAGCTCCCAACTGCCCCAGAGAGTGTATGTGTGTGTGTGTGCGCGAGCACTCCTGTGTGAATATGTGTTTGAGGTGTGTGCATGCATCCACCAGAACACTCAGCATGAACTGTATAGTCACATGTTTCTGAGGGGTGGTGTGGCAATGCAGAGTGCGTGTTTCTTCTCGTGCAGAATGTGCCTGGGTGGGCCTGTGCTCCCACCTTCAGCTGGGTGAGGATATGTGTGAGGGTGTGTGTGATCAGAGATGTGTGCCAGTGTGTGTGCATGCTTAAACACTCAGGGTGCGCGTGTACAAGCCTACATGCTCAAGGGAACACAGCTGAGCGCGTGGTCAGGTGATATCACATATCTGTGTGTGTGAGCAGTTAGGAGCAGGGCACATGCCTGGCATCCAGGTGTAGGGGTATGAGGGCCATGGGTACTGGAATCTGGAATGTTCCTTTGTGGACTTCGGGGGGGGCTTTGGGGGCGTCTATGGGTGCAGCTGGAGTGCCTGTCCTGCTGGGGCGGGCCAAGTCCAGAGGTTTGGGGCTCAGTAAGGCCCCAGGACCAAAGGGAGCATCCCATCCCTCACCCTCCTCCACTCCCACCATCTTTCCTTGTCCAAGGTCACATTCTCTGGTGTGGCAAATTCTCAAATTCTCAGACCGCCCAGCTCACTGGAGTAAACCGGCCTGGCCAGTACCAGCTAAGCAGAGCCAGAGGCTCCTAACAGGGTGTGGATGGGGAGAAGCTGGCCTAGTACAGCCAGCCCTCCCATCTGGGCAGGGGGAGTGCCCGGAGAGGCAGCTGGGGCCGACATCGCTGGGAGCACAGCCCGAGCAGAGTGGGCAGGCCCAGGGCGCGTGGGAGCAGTGCCGGGGGTGTGGACAGGCACCGAGGCGTGTAGGACACGCCAGCCAAGGAGAAACTGAGAGTCAGTGGGGTCTGACTTATCCAGGAGGCCCCATAGGCCCTGCCCTGTGGAGGCGTAGGGAGGACGAAGTAAGTTCCAGACTCTCCGCTAAGGCAAAGGTGGGGTCACCAAGGCCCAGAAATCTGCAGTGTCTGGGCCCCCCGTGGGTCCAGAGCCCAGCCTTGGAGACCCGAGTGGAGTTGGCTGACCTTTGTTCAGGCCCCTGGACGTCCCACCCCGGGGGCTGTTCTCCGGCTCCCCTCCCCTCTGTGAGAATCCAAGAGCCACCTGGGTGCTGAGTAGGGGGTAAAGTCTGAGGTCTGGACCTCCTTGCTCCGCCTTCCTTCTCCCTGGAATGTGCCTTCCCAGGGTGCAGCCTTACCCCAGGGTCCCCTCCCAGCTGGCCTCTTATTTATAGTCAACAGAACCTGGCACAAGGGGAAACACCCAGGAGGTTTGACCCGGCCAGAACCAGGAATAGCAGTGCCCCCCAGTTCGCACCACGTGGCCCCCACCCAGGCGACCGTATTCACACCCAACAGTCGACCCAGAGACACAGGTCAGCGCAGGGCGAGCCCCTTGCCCAGTGCCTGCGTTAAAGATGTTATTGTGATGACAGAGGCCGCTGCCTGTGCTTCTGCTGCAGGCGAGTGTCCTCACAGGGTCCCCCCCAGAGGCCAGCCCCGGCCTGCTACCGGCCACCCAAGGGAGGCTGGATTCCTCGGTGTGCTTCTGCACCTGTGACTTTCTCAGTCCCCTCCTTCCTCCTCAGGAGCCTGAGGGGTTTTCTGCTCAGACCCCTGTGTCCCTCTCCGCCCTCCTCCTGAGCCTGGCCTCCTACCTGGGGCCTCTGAGCACTTCCAGGCAGGAGAACTTTGTGTAGAGGCAGAAAGAGCCTAGAAGGAGAGCTGGGGGAGCAGAGGGCCAGAGGACGAGGACGGGGCAGCTAGCTCCCAACCCCAGAGCTCGCTTGGCCATGGGTGGGCATGAGTCCAGGAGAAGACTTCCTGGAGGAGGTGGACTAAGCAGGCCTGAAGCATTAAAGGTGATTTCTCTGTAGTGGCTGAGGGAGGGAATGGGCGTGGAATCAGGATGGGGAGCCACCCCAGCAGTAGCCGCCCTGGGAAAGAAGGGACCCCTTTGCCTTCCTCGGAGCTGGAATGGCCCTCCAAGGAGGGGGGGTGGCATGGAGCTTTCTCTGGTTGTGTGGGGCAGAAGACGGTAGACTGAGGGATGGGGGCGCACGGCATGAGCCCAGGTTGGAACAGACAGGCTGGCAGCCCGGCTGGTGGGTTGGAGCCAGGTCAGATCGTCCTGGGGCTTGAATGCCGAACCGCAGGCCTCCTCGTTTTCCTTAACTGCAAGGCAAGGGAGGTTATACGGAGCGTGTTCCACCCACCGGTCAGGGTCTTGGGCTGATTCTAAGAGCCCTCCAGCCCCTGCCCCCCCTCCCCTAATCCCTCCAGCGGGGATCAGGGAGGAGGTGCGGGACCTGCTGCCC